CGTCCAAACGCCATTTTTTGGGGTCCAAACGACATTTTACGCCTAGAGCTCTTTTGGAGCTTCAAGAAAAGTTGTTGGTGGCAGCATACGGCCTCACGGTCTTCCAGCTACGCATTTTAGAAGTTTCAGATACAAATACAGAAAAAAATTAACAAAAAAAGGGGTGCAACACGAGGACTTCCCGGGAGGTCACCCATCCTAGTACTACTCTCGCCCAAGCACGCTTCACTGCGGAGTTCTGATGGGATCCGGTGCATTAGTGTTGGTATGATCGCACCCGTTTGTTTATGACGCGCATACGCATATATGCCTTTCCGAGAGGATCTTGAACGTTTATTCGGCGGCGTAGGCCCCACTTGATGCTTAGGCCCGATCCGGAGTCCTAAGTGACCCTTATGTGAGAGGGAGGATGGATGCATCCAAAAAACACTTTGCATAGCACTTTCGATTCATTGATATTGTGTCCGCACCAGAAAACGGCCCGGAAAAGCGTCCAAACGCCATTTTTTGGGGTCCAAACGATATATTATGCCTAGAGATCTTTTGGAGCTTCACGAAAAGTGGTTGGTGGCAGCATACGGCCTCACGGTCTTCCAGCTACGCATTTTGGAAGTTTCAGATAGAAATACAGAAAAAAATTAACAAACAAAGGGGTGCAACACGAGGACTTCCCGGTAGGTCACCCATCCTAGTACTACTCTCGCCCAAGCACGCTTCACTGCGGAGTTCTGATGGGATCCGGTGCATTAGTGCTGGTATGATCGCACCAGTTTGTTTATGACGCGCAAACGCATATATGCCTTTCCGAGAGGATCTTGAACGTTTATTCGGCGGTGTAGGCCCCACTTGATGCTTAGGCCCGATCCGGAGTCCTAAGTGACCCTTATGTGAGAGGGAGGATGGATGCATCCAAAAAACACTATGCATAGCACTTTTCGATTCATTGATATTGTGTCCGCACCAGAAAACGGCCCGGAAAAGCGTCCAAACGCCATTTTTTGGGGTCCAAACGATATTTTACGCCTAGAGCTCTTTTGGAGCTTCACGAAAAAGTGGTTGGTGGCAGCATACGGCCTCACGGTCTTCCAGCTACGCATTTTGGAAGTTTCAGATAGAAATACAGAAAAAAATTAACAAAAAAAGGGGTGCAACACGAGAACTTCCCGGGAGGTCACCCATCCTAATACAACTCTCACCCAAGCACGCTAAACTGCGGAGTTCTGATGGGATCCGGTGCATTAGTGCTGGTATGATCGCACCAGTTTGTTTATGACGCGCAAACGCATATATGCCTTTCCGAGAGGATCTTGAACGTTTATTCGGCGGCGTAGGCCCCACTTGATGCTTAAGGCCGATCCGGAGTCCTAAGTGACCCTTATGTGAGAGGGAGGATGGATGCATCCAAAAAACACTATGCATAGCACTTTTCGATTCATTGATTTTGTGTCCGCACCAGAAAACGGCCCGGAAAAGCGTCCAAACGCCATTTTTTGGGGTCCAAACGATATTTTACGCCTAGAGCTCTTTTGGAGCTTCACGAAAAGTGGTTGGTGGCAGCATACGGCCTCACGGTCTCCCAGCTACGCATTTTGGAAGTTTCAGATAGAAATACAGAAAAAAATTAACAAAAAAAGGGATGCAACACGAGGACTTCCCGGGAGGTCACCCATCCTAGTACTACTCTCGCCCAAGCACGCTTACCTGCGGAGTTCTGATGGGATCCGGTGCATTAGTGCTGGTATGATCGCACCAGTTTGTTTATGACGCGCAAACGCATATATGCCTTTCCGAGAGAATCTTGAACGTTTATTCGGCGGCGTAGGCCCCACTTGATGCTTAGGCCCGATCCGGAGTCCTAAGTGACCATTATGTGAGAGGGAGGATGGATGCATCCAAAAAACACTATGCATAGCACTTTCGATTCATTGATTTTGTGTCCGAACCAGAAAACGGCCCGGAAAAGCGTCCAAACGCCATTTTTTGGGGTCCAAACGATATTTTACGCCTAGAGCTCTTTTGGAGCTTCACGAAAAGTGGGTTGGTGGCAGCATACGGCTCACGGTCTTCCAGCTACGCATTTTGGAAGTTTCAGATAGAAATACAGAAAAAAATTAACAAAAAAAGGGATGCAACACGAGGACTTCCCGGGGGGGGGGGGGGGGGGGGGGGGGGGGGGGGGGGGGGGGAGGGGGGGGGGGGGGGGGGGGGGGGGGGGGGGGGAAAAGGGGGGGGGGGAGGGGGGGGGGGGGGGGAGGGGGGGGGGGGGGTTGGGTGGGGGGGGGAAGGAAGGGGGGGGGGGGGGGGCAACACGAGGACTTCCCGGGAGGTCACCCATCCTAGTACTACTCTCGCCCAAGCACGCTTACTGCGGAGTTCTGATGGGATCCGGTGCATTAGTGCTGGTATGATCGCACCCGTTTGTTTATGACGCGCATACGCATATATGCCTTTCCGAGAGGATCTTGAACGTTTATTCGGCGGCGTAGGCCCCACTTGATGCTTAGGCCCGATCCGGAGTCCTAAGTGACCCTTATGTGAGAGGGAGGATGGATGCATCCAAAAAACACTATGCATAGCACTTTCGATTCATTGATTTTGTGTCCGCACCAGAAAACGGCCCGGAAAAGCGTCCAAACGCCATTTTTTGGGGTCCAAACGATATTTTACGCCTAGAGCTCTTTTGGAGCTTCACGAAAAGTGGTTGGTGGCAGCATACGGCCTCACGGTCTTCCAGCTACGCATTTTGGAAGTTTCAGATAGAAATACAGAAAAAAATTAACAAAAAAAGGGGTGCAACACGAGGACTTCCCGGGAGGTCACCCATCCTAGTACTACTCTCGCCCAAGCACGCTTACTGCGGAGTTCTGATGGGATCCGGTGCATTAGTGCTGGTATGATCGCACCCGTTTGTTTATGACGCGCAAACGCATATATGCCTTTCCGAGAGGATCTTGAACGTTTATTCGGCGGCGTAGGCCCCACTTGATGCTTAGGCCCGATCCGGAGTCCTAAGTGACCCTTATGTGAGAGGGAGGATGGATGCATCCAAAAAACACTATGCATAGCACTTTCGATTCATTGATTTTGTGTCCGCACCAGAAAACGGCCCGGAAAAGCGTCCAAACGCCATTTTTTGGGGTCCAAACGATATTTTACGCCTAGAGCTCTTTTGGAGCTTCACGAAAAGTGGTTGGTGGCAGCATACGGCCTCACGGTCTTCCAGCTACGCATTTTGGAAGTTTCAGATAGAAATACAGAAAAAAATTAACAAAAAAAGGGGTGCAACACGAGGACTTCCCGGGAGGTCACCCATCCTAGTACTACTCTCGCCCAAGCACGCTTACTGCGGAGTTCTGATGGGATCCGGTGCATTAGTGCTGGTATGATCGCACCCGTTTGTTTATGACGCGCAAACGCATATATGCCTTTCCGAGAGGATCTTGAACGTTTATTCGGCGGCGTAGGCCCCACTTGATGCTTAGGCCCGATCCGGAGTCCTAAGTGACCCTTATGTGAGAGGGAGGATGGATGCATCCAAAAAACACTATGCATAGCACTTTCGATTCATTGATTTTGTGTCCGCACCAGAAAACGGCCCGGAAAAGCGTCCAAACGCCATTTTTTGGGGTCCAAACGATATTTTACGCCTAGAGCTCTTTTGGAGCTTCACGAAAAGTGGTTGGTGGCAGCATACGGCCTCACGGTCTTCCAGCTACGCATTTTGGAAGTTTCAGATAGAAATACAGAAAAAAATTAACAAAAAAAGGGGTGCAACACGAGGACTTCCCGGGAGGTCACCCATCCTAGTACTACTCTCGCCCAAGCACGCTTAACTGCGGAGTTCTGATGGGATCCGGTGCATTAGTGCTGGTATGATCGCACCCATTTGTTTATGACGCGCAAACGCATATATGCCTTTCCGAGAGGATCTTGAACGTTTATTCGGCGGCGTAGGCCCCACTTGATGCTTAGGCCCGATCCGGAGTCCTAAGTGACCCTTATGTGAGAGGGAGGATGGATGCATCCAAAAAACACTATGCATAGCACTTTCGATTCATTGATTTTGTGTCCGCACCAGAAAACGGCCCGGAAAAGCGTCCAAACGCCATTTTTTGGGGTCCAAACGATATTTTACGCCTAGAGCTCTTTTGGAGCTTCACGAAAAGTGGTTGGTGGCAGCATACGGCCTCACGGTCTTCCAGCTACGCATTTTGGAAGTTTCAGATAGAAATACAGAAAAAAATTAACAAAAAAAGGGGTGCAACACGAGGACTTCCCGGGAGGTCACCCATCCTAGTACTACTCTCGCCCAAGCACGCTTACTGCGGAGTTCTGATGGGATCCGGTGCATTAGTGCTGGTATGATCGCACCCATTTGTTTATGACGCGCAAACGCATATATGCCTTTCCGAGAGGATCTTGAACGTTTATTCGGCGGCGTAGGCCCCACTTGATGCTTAGGCCCGATCCGGAGTCCTAAGTGACCCTTATGTGAGAGGGAGGATGGATGCATCCAAAAAACACTATGCATAGCACTTTCGATTCATTGATTTTGTGTCCGCACCAGAAAACGGCCCGGAAAAGCGTCCAAACGCCATTTTTTGGGGTCCAAACGATATTTTACGCCTAGAGCTCTTTTGGAGCTTCACGAAAAGTGGTTGGTGGCAGCATACGGCCTCACGGTCTTCCAGCTACGCATTTTGGAAGTTTCAGATAGAAATACAGAAAAAAATTAACAAAAAAAGGGGTGCAACACGAGGACTTCCCGGGAGGTCACCCATCCTAGTACTACTCTCGCCCAAGCACGCTTACTGCGGAGTTCTGATGGGATCCGGTGCATTAGTGCTGGTATGATCGCACCCATTTGTTTATGACGCGCAAACGCATATATGCCTTTCCGAGAGGATCTTGAACGTTTATTCGGCGGCGTAGGCCCCACTTGATGCTTAGGCCCGATCCGGAGTCCTAAGTGACCCTTATGTGAGAGGGAGGATGGATGCATCCAAAAAACACTATGCATAGCACTTTCGATTCATTGATTTGTGTCCGCACCAGAAAACGGCCCGGAAAAGCGTCCAAACGCCATTTTTTGGGGTCCAAACGATATTTTACGCCTAGAGCTCTTTTGGAGCTTCACGAAAAGTGGTTGGTGGCAGCATACGGCCTCACGGTCTTCCAGCTACGCATTTTGGAAGTTTCAGATAGAAATACAGAAAAAAATTAACAAAAAAAGGGGTGCAACACGAGGACTTCCCGGGAGGTCACCCATCCTAGTACTACTCTCGCCCAAGCACGCTTACTGCGGAGTTCTGATGGGATCCGGTGCATTAGTGCTGGTATGATCGCACCCGTTTGTTTATGACGCGCAAACGCATATATGCCTTTCCGAGAGGATCTTGAACGTTTATTCGGCGGCGTAGGCCCCACTTGATGCTTAGGCCCGATCCGGAGTCCTAAGTGACCCTTATGTGAGAGGGAGGATGGATGCATCCAAAAAACACTATGCATAGCACTTTCGATTCATTGATTTTGTGTCCGCACCAGAAAACGGCCCGGAAAAGCGTCCAAACGCCATTTTTTGGGGTCCAAACGATATTTTACGCCTAGAGCTCTTTTGGAGCTTCACGAAAAGTGGTTGGTGGCAGCATACGGCCTCACGGTCTTCCAGCTACGCATTTTGGAAGTTTCAGATAGAAATACAGAAAAAAATTAACAAAAAAAGGGGTGCAACACGAGGACTTCCCGGGAGGTCACCCATCCTAGTACTACTCTCGCCCAAGCACGCTTACTGCGGAGTTCTGATGGGATCCGGTGCATTAGTGCTGGTATGATCGCACCCGTTTGTTTATGACGCGCAAACGCATATATGCCTTTCCGAGAGGATCTTGAACGTTTATTCGGCGGCGTAGGCCCCACTTGATGCTTAGGCCCGATCCGGAGTCCTAAGTGACCCTTATGTGAGAGGGAGGATGGATGCATCCAAAAAACACTATGCATAGCACTTTCGATTCATTGATTTTGTGTCCGCACCAGAAAACGGCCCGGAAAAGCGTCCAAACGCCATTTTTTGGGGTCCAAACGATATTTTACGCCTAGAGCTCTTTTGGAGCTTCACGAAAAGTGGTTGGTGGCAGCATACGGCCTCACGGTCTTCCAGCTACGCATTTTGGAAGTTTCAGATAGAAATACAGAAAAAAATTAACAAAAAAAGGGGTGCAACACGAGGACTTCCCGGGAGGTCACCCATCCTAGTACTACTCTCGCCCAAGCACGCTTACTGCGGAGTTCTGATGGGATCCGGTGCATTAGTGCTGGTATGATCGCACCCGTTTGTTTATGACGCGCAAACGCATATATGCCTTTCCGAGAGGATCTTGAACGTTTATTCGGCGGCGTAGGCCCCACTTGATGCTTAGGCCCGATCCGGAGTCCTAAGTGACCCTTATGTGAGAGGGAGGATGGATGCATCCAAAAAACACTATGCATAGCACTTTCGATTCATTGATTTTGTGTCCGCACCAGAAAACGGCCCGGAAAAGCGTCCAAACGCCATTTTTTGGGGTCCAAACGATATTTTACGCCTAGAGCTCTTTTGGAGCTTCACGAAAAGTGGTTGGTGGCAGCATACGGCCTCACGGTCTTCCAGCTACGCATTTTGGAAGTTTCAGATAGAAATACAGAAAAAAATTAACAAAAAAAGGGGTGCAACACGAGGACTTCCCGGGAGGTCACCCATCCTAGTACTACTCTCGCCCAAGCACGCTTACTGCGGAGTTCTGATGGGATCCGGTGCATTAGTGCTGGTATGATCGCACCCGTTTGTTTATGACGCGCAAACGCATATATGCCTTTCCGAGAGGATCTTGAACGTTTATTCGGCGGCGTAGGCCCC